CATCCAAACCGAGGTTCTTGTCCAGGGAACAAAACCATGGTTTTTTTTCTGGGCATAATAACCGTGTGTTAATTAGCTAATTAATTAATGTTCAGTAATAAGTAACTTTCACTCCATAGCAATTATTATTAAGGAGACCTAACAAGGGTATGTAAATTTCAAATAATTGAAGACTGGAATGACAAAATAATATTTATTCTTCATAGAAAAACAAGAACAATATTTTTATCATCTAATACAGAACAATAATGAAAGAAATAACACGTTTTTTAGTCTTTGGACAGCTACTTCTAGCGCTCTAAAAGAGCTACTTCTAGCGCTCTACAAGAGCTACTTCTAGCGCTTTAAAAAGCCATTTTTAACGCTTCAAAAGAGCTACTTTTACCGCTTTAAATGCTCAGATAAAACTAAAACATATGACACAGCCTTTTCCTTTGGTGCACAGGAGAGGTTAATATGGAAGGTACACCAACATGAAATGAAAATTAAATCTATTACCGCCGCTGCAATATTCGTTAATTATTGACATTATACACATAGTAACTCTTAGTGTATTTTAAATGAATGGTAACGTTCATTACAGCTCGTGTTATACGTTCAGAAAGTTGATTGTTGGGGCATAACAGCGTAGCAGGTCAATAGGAGATTTAATAAGTTTATTTTTAGTGCAGAAGATAGGAATGCAAGTTTTAAATTATATAGGTAGTCATTTGCAGACAGTCGTTATGTGTAGGTAATTAAAACTAGCACATAGTTTTCAATAACACGAATGACTGGAATGAGCAATAAACTGCTTCATTTGAGATACTAAGAACTGGTCTCAATCCTTACCCACACTTTCCCTCTCCGCTTCCTCGCCACAATCCCCTCACTCCCTCATCAGCTCCCTCACTCATTTCCCCCTCTCTCCGCTCCCTGGCCACACTTCCCTCACTCCCCCTCTTCGCTCCCTGGCCCCACTTCCCTCACTCCCCCTCTTCGCTCCCTGGCCCCACTTCCCTCACTCCCCCTCTTTGCTCCCTGGCCCCACTTCCCTCATTCCCCCTCTGAGTCCTCCTCCCCACACTCCCCTCACTCCCTCCTGACACACCGTGAACCCAACACTGACACGAGGGAGCCAAGGGCAAGAAACAACTTGCAGTGTGCGTGTGGCAGGCACGGCAGGGTTTCGTCCTGAAATATTATTCTTCATTATACTAGCAATTTTCTTCGCATCATTAGGAGTTGCAGTAGTCAGGACATCAGGTATTTTCACGCAGTTATCATCACAGCGACAAGGTTGGGCTGAATTTTGGGGTTTCAGGTCATGTTGGGCACGGTGTCTAAGAGAAAACTCTTCACATTTCAGCCCTGAACATTGTTCTTGTTGTTCAATAATAACATCAACTTTACAATCGTCGTTTATTCCATTCACACTTTGACAGGATTCTTCACTTCCGTTCTCACTAATATTAGGTTTTGATAGCGATGTACTTGAGACAGCTTCGTCATGAACATCACTCAGCCGCCGTCGTTTACACGGCTTTTCGATATAATTCTCAGGCGTCGTTTTTAATTTTAAATCCACAGGGCTACTTCGAACTGGTGAGTTATTGCAGCTAACCATTCGATTCTCATTTAGGAGTATTTCTTTGTTGCCAATATAGGAATAAGCGTCAACTAGTTTATCATTTTCAAAAGATGCGTTTTTCGCAATTCTGCTTTTGTTTTCACTTACACCGCTCACTTCTACACAGCCACTACCAGGGCCTTCACTTGTATTGCCTGGTTCTACACAGCCACTACCAGGGCCTTCACTTGTATTGCCTGGTTCTACACAGCCACTACCAGGGCCTTCACTTGTATTGCCTGGTTCTACACAGCCACTACCAGGGCCTTCACTTGTATTGCCTGGTTCTACACAGCCACTACCAGGGCCTTCACTTGTATTGCCTGGTTCTACACAGCCACTACCAGGGCCTTCACTTGTATTGCCTGGTTCTACACAGCCACTACCAGGGCCTTCACTTGTATTGCCTGGTTCTACACAGCCACTACCAGGGCCTTCACTTGTATTGCCTGGTTCTACACAGCCACTACCAGGGCCTTCACTTGTATTGCCTGGTTCTACACAGCCACTACCAGGGCCTTCACTTGTATTGCCTGGTTCTACACAGCCACTACCAGGGCCTTCACTTGTATTGCCTGGTTCTACACAGCCACTACCAGGGCCTTCACTTGTATTGCCTGGTTCTACACAGCCACTACCAGGGCCTTCACTTGTATTGCCTGGTTCTACACAGCCACTACCAGGGCCTTCACTTGTATTGCCTGGTTNTTTACTTTTTAAAATCATTTATTTTGACATTTGATTCATGCATTGTCTCCAACTTTACACAAGTGTGCAAAATTTCAGATCGATAGGATAAGTAGAAGTGTGTTACATTTCGATTACAAGATTTGTAGCAGACAGACAGACAGACAAGAAGTGAAGTTAAAGAGAAGTGTTGTAAAATAGGTTTAGGTTCGCAGTGTCAATTCATTATTCATTTATTGTTTTGAACATTATTTAAGAACAGTCTAGGTCCAGGGTTCAAATTCAATATTTAGTACTAATTTTGTTAATTAAGCAGACACGGTTTTGTTACACAGTTTATTCTCATTGTTTTGTATGCTCATTATTTCTTAACTATTTTTGGCTTTCGGTTTTACCAACATTTAGTAATTGTTTTACCTATTTCATATTAACTCGGTAAAGCCTGCGGCTATATTTTAATGTCGTACAAACAGTACGACAATTTAATAAAATACAATGGAAATGCCTATCCTGTTATCAAGTTTATACGTCTTCCATCTCGTAAGTCCCAGCGACTTTAACATAACAAAACAACTTTAACGGTAATACCATAACACTTAGCATATTATTTTATCATGTCATAATTCTATGGCTATCATGTTCGTGTCTTGCATGTTCTTTCATGTTTCATAATTGTGATACATAAAGATTTATAATCTTTTAGTAGGTACACAAATTTTGTACATTTGTGGTTCTCTCAACATCGAATCGTGGTATTCTTGTTAATAGCACACCAGATCATAGCCGTCAAAATTCATAAAACATTAGAATTAATTTATTTATTTGAATTTCTAATAAAAATTTGTTATATATAGAGCCACCTGGTTGATGACCAGCACCCGGCAGCTGGTGTTGGTTATTTATTTATTTGAAATTATAATAAAAATTTGTTATTTATAGAGCCACCTGGTGCTGGATACAACCTTAGAATTTTTTTATTTTTTTTATTTTTTAATAAGAATTTGTTTTATATAGAGCGACCTGGTTGACGACCATCACCCGACAGCTGGTGTTGGTTATTTATTTATTTAAAATTATAATTACAATTTATTATATATAGAGCCCACTGGTGGTGGATACAACCTTGGAATTATTTTATTTGAATTTTTTATTCAAAATTAGTTATATACGGTATAGAGCCACCTGGTTTACGACCAGCACCCGGCAGCTGGTGGATACAACCTTAGAATTATTTTAATTTATTTATTTACATTTTTAATCGAAATATGTATTATATTTATTTATTTGAATTTTATTATCAGAATTTGTTATATATAGAGCCACCTGGTGGTGGATACAACCTTAGAATTTATTTATTTAAAACTATAATCAAATTTTATTATGCGAGTCCAATCGTTCAACGTAGATAATAAGTTATAAACACACTCACAGTTGTATAGAATATAGTTGTATAATATAAGTTGTATGTATAAGTTGTATAATATAGTTGTATAGAAGTAACAACGTGTAGAAGTAAGAGTATGTTGAAGTGTAGAAGTTACAGCGTGTAGAAGTAAGAGTGTGTAAAAGTGTATAACTAATAGCGTGTAGAAGTAAAAGTGTGTTGAAGTGTAGGAGTATATAATAGCGTGTAGAAGCAAGACAATGTTGAAGTGTAGAAGTAACAACGTGTAGAAGTAAGAGTATGTTGAAGTGTAGATGTAACAGAGTGTAGAAGTAAGAGTGTGCAGAAGTGTATAAGTAATACCGTGTAGAAGTAAGAGTATGTTGAAGTTTAGAAGTACTAGTATGTAGAAGTTAGATTGTGGTGAAGTGTAGGTCATAGCGTATCTCTCACCATACCCTATACCCACAGCTGGTATATGTGGTCTGTGAGCGTCTGCTGAAGCTGTGTGGATGTGGTCCATCTCCCCCCCACATGCTCGCCCCCCTGGACATCAGCTACCGTCTGGGGACCCCATCCTTCACATCCTACTTCATCTGTGCGCAGTTCAGCCGCGACGCAGGACGCGTATCCTACTCTGCTCCTCTCAGCGTCATGTCCCCCTCGCTGACACGCACCCATACCGACAACAGCTGTGAGTGGCAGCTGTGAGTGGCAGCTGTGAGTGGCAGCTGTGAGTGGCAGCTGTGAGTGGCAGCTGTGAGTGGCAGCTGTGAGTGGCAACAGCTGTGAGTGGCAACAGCTGTGAGTGGCAGCTGTGAGTNAGGGACGAGGTACTGACGAGGTCAGGGACGAGGTACTGACGAGGTCAGGGACGAGGTACTGACGAGGTCAGGGACGAGGTACTGACGAGGTCAGGGACGAGGTACTGACGAGGTCAGGGACGAGGTACTGACGAGGTCAGGGACGAGGTACTGACGAGGTCAGGGACGAGGTACTGACGAGGTCAGGGACGAGGTACTGACGAGGTCAGGGACGAGGTACTGACGAGGTCAGGGACGAGGTACTGACGAGGTCAGGGACGAGGTACTGACGAGGTCAGGGACGAGGTACTGACGAGGTCAGGGACGAGGTACTGACGAGGTCAGGGACGAGGTACTGACGAGGTCAGGGACGAGGTACTGACGAGGTCAGGGACGAGGTACTGACGAGGTCAGGGACGAGGTACTGACGAGGTCAGGGACGAGGTACTGACGAGGTCAGGGACGAGGTACTGACGAGGTCAGGGACGAGGTACTGACGCTGTCTCTTATACACATCTAGATGTGTATAAGAGACGTGGCAACAGCTGTGCGTGGCAACTGCTGTGAGTGGCAACAGCTGTGAGTGGCAACTGCTGTGAGTGGCAACTGCTGTGAGTGGCAACAGCTGTGAGTGGCAACATCTGTGAGTGGCAACATCTGTGCGTGGCAACCATCCATCACTTGTCTTGAAGTTCATAGAGTTGGATTACATTTCGAATCTATATAAAATATTGTACAATTCTATCATTATTATTATTATATATTATCATAATTCTATCATTCATCTATGTATATATGGAATCAAATGTAAAATTTATGGAAAAAGTGAAAGGCAGAAGAGCATTTTAAGTAATAAATTAAACCTCATACATTCAAAATCAATTATATATATTTTTCTCGCTTACTGATCAACTGTTTCTTGTACTTTATATTGCCAGTGTAAATTAAATTTTTCCCTTTAATCGTTTAGCTCCAGTTCAATACGATCGCTAGCACTTAAAGTTTATGAAGTTATATTAAATTTAGAATTTAAATAAAATATTTTATAATTCTATCATTCATTTTACGAAATCAAATGTAAAATTTACAGAAAATTTGAAAGTCAGAAAGGCATTTTAAGTAATGAATTAAACTTTAAATGTCCAGATATCAAAATTTATATTTTCATCGGTTACTATTCAACAATTGCTTGTACCTTATATTGCTTGATAAATACATTAAATTTTTGCCTTTAATCCTTTAGCCCCAGGATCGTCCGCAGCGTCAGTGACGAGGAAGACGTCGGACGAGACGCTCACGTCCGCAAGCGACCTCCGCAGTCCGCAGTTTGCAGAAGGTCACGTCACGATGCCCTCGTCCGCTGTCTACCCTAACCGAACCTTCGATGAGAACACGGCTAGTGACATACCATCGTGTCTAAGTGGTCAGTGGTACTATAACTTATGTTCTATGATTTACAACCTGTTAGAGTCAAGACAAGTCGTCAGTAGTACTATAAATTACTCATGTTCTATAACTTGTTTACAACCAGTTACAGCCAAGGCTAGTGACATACCATCGTGTCTAAGTGGTCAGTGGTACCATAACTTATGTTCTATTACTTGTTTACAACCTGTTACTGTCAAGGCTAGTGACATACCGTCGTGTCTAAGTGGTCAGTGGTATTATAAGTCATGTTCTATAAGTTGTTTACAACCTGTTACAGTCAAGTGGTCAGTGGTACTTTAAGTGACTTATGTTCTATAACTTGTTTACAACCTGTTACAGTGATGTTAAGTGGTCAGTGATACTATAACTTATATTCTATAACTTGTTTACAACCTGTTACAGTCATGTTAAGTGATCAGTGGTACTATAACTTATATTCTATAACTTGTTTACAACCTGTTACAGTCATGTCAAGTGGTCAGGGGTACTATAACTTATGTTCTAAAACTGGTTTACAACCTGTTACAGTCATGTCAAGTGGTCAGGGGTACTATAACTTACTAATGTTCTATAACTTGTTTACAACCTGTTACAGTCACGTTTTGAAATACTGTCAGCGGGACAAGTAATTTCTTGCAAATATGTTTGTACGACGGTAAATTTTTATCCAGCATTCGCATCAATCAAGGCTAAATATGCATTTATTTCACCAGGCTTCCCTCATCAGAACATCGATGCTTTACTCAACGATGGCGTCACCAACGAGAAGCTTACTGATAACCTTTGTTATCAGGAGCTATCATCCAGCCATGACCTGAGAAAGCTGGCTGAGCAGGATGATAAGGTGACCATGAAATTATGATAAATAACCTTCACCTTAATGTGTTGACTGAGCAGGATGATAAGGTGACTTTAGCAGGTGTAGGAAACAATCCCAATGGTGAACCATTGGTGTAGGAGACACCATTCCAATGGTGAACCATTGGCGTAGGAAACAATTCCAAAGGTGAACCATTGGTGGAGGAGACCATTCCAAAAGTGAACCATTGGTGTAGGAGACCATCCCAATGGTGAACCATTTTTGTAGGAGACCATCCTAATGGTGAACCATTGGTGTAGGAGACCATCCCAATGGTGAACCATTGGTGTAGGAGACCATTCCAATGGTGAACCATTGGTCTGGTGTAGGAGACCATTACAATGGTGAACCATTGGTATAGGAGACCATTCCAATGATGAACCATTGGCGTAGGAGACCATTCCAACGGTGAACCATTCCAAAGGTTCGCCATTGGACTGACGGCAGCAAAGAAGCACGCTGCCGTCCTTTTTTACCAAAAGAGCACGCTGACGGCAGCAGTTCCTTAACACAGTCATATATAGCGTGCCCAAAAACTCCAGATGTAATCAGCTTATCATTCTTATGGTAGTATTGATCGCCTTGTATTATGTTTACAAACTTCACATAAGATAAACTCGTTATAATTATATTAATACTTTGCATGTCAGTGTCTGGAGGCTAAAGACGTGTACGAGGCGCTGGTGGTGGACCACACGCTGCTGGGGGCGGAGTACCTGAAGCAGTTGCGCCAATTTAGACACGAGCTCAACATCCGCCAGACGGCCTGGGACAGACTGGCTACTGAGACCAACGCGCAGCTTCTTACTGGTGGGGGTTAAGGGTTGATGTTCGACTTATAACTGGTGGAGTTAAGGGTTAATATTCGGCTCCAATTCTGGTGGGGTTAAGTGTTACAGTCAACCCCCTTACTGGCGAAGTTAAGGGTTAACCTATAGCTCATCACTTAGTCAGATTTCACTACCGTCACTTCATCAGGTTTTATGCTTCCACGTTGTGTGACTCTTGCCATCTTGTCAACTCTGCTCGTCCTTTTCTTATTCCTACATGCCCCCTTCATTTGTCACGCCCAATTGCCTCCTTGTCACACCCACTTCCTTCTTGTCACGCCCACTTCCTTCTTGTCATGCCCACTTTTTCCCTTATCATGCCCACTTGCCCCCTTGTCACATCTACTTTCCCCCTTGTCACGCCCACTTGCCCGCTTGGCAGGCCTGCTGCTGGGTTGGCTGGAGCACCTGAAGGCGCCGCTGCTGTCGGTGGACGAGCTCTCCTACCTCGTCCTGGCCGCCCACAAACCGGAGGTCGTCCTGCGCAAGCTGGACGAGGTACTGACATGGTCCACGTACCACTAGTGCTTGACGAGGTACTAACGTGGTCTCCATGTACCACTAGGACCTGACGAGGTACTGACGTGGTCCGCGTACCACTAGGACCTGACGAGGTACTGACGTGGTCCATGTACCACTAGGACCTGACGAGGTACTGACGTGGTCCATGTACCACTAGGACTTGATGAGGTACTAACGTGGTCCAAGTACAAGTAGTGCTTGACGAGGTACTGACGTGACCTACATACCACTCGGGAAAACCAATTAAGTACTCTGAGATACAATGTTTGTAAAATACTTTGCTGGTACTCTTTTCCTCAATGAGTTTTACTTCCAATAAATGCCGTGTAACCACTGATTGCAAGTGAGTAACCATAAAAACCAGTACCAGTAGGTACTTCAGTTCCAAGTACACCAGTACTACTAGGTACTTCAGGTCCCGGTTACACCAGTACCACTAGGTACAGCATTACCATGTTACACCACTACCACTAGGTACAGGTACCATATTACACCAGTACCACTAGGTACATGTACCATATTACACCAGTACAACTAGGTACAGGTGTCAGGTTACACCAGTACAACTAGGTACAGGTGCCATATTACCCCAGTGCCACCAGGTACAGGTGCCATATTACACCAGTACCACTAGGTACAGGTGCCATATTACCCCAGTGCCACCAGGTACAGGTGCCATATTACACCAGTACCACTAGGTACAGGTGCCATATTACCCCAGTACCAGCACGTACCCTCGCGCAGGACACGCGGTACACCATCGAGTACCTGGTACGCTTCGTGGCGCGTCTGCAGCCGCTGGAGGCGCAGCAGCAGCGAGACATCCTGCGCCGCCTCATCGCTTCCCTCACCCACCAGGCCGTCCCCATCGGGGGGACACTTCTCCCCGCCGGTGAGAGGGGGCAGTCTTGGTGTGGGGCGATGGTCCCCATCGGGGGGACACTCCTCCCCGCCGGTGAGGGGGGTAGTCTTGATGTGGGGCGATGGTCCCCATCGGGGGGACACTCCTCCCCGCCGGTGAGGGGGTAGGTAGTCTTGATGTGGAGCACTGGTCCCCATCGGGGAGACGCTTCTCCCCGCCGGTAGGGGGGTAGTCTTGATGTGAGGGGCTGGTCCCCATCGGGGGGACGCTTCTCCCCGCCGGTGAGGGGGCGCCGGTCTTGATGTCCTCATCCTTAGGGGAGGGAAATTTCAATGCAGGGGCAGGTTTATCTGCCCCAGAAGGGGGTGCTAAGTTTACATGTCTGATCCCCGCAGCTGAGGATGAGGCTGCTGGAACCTTTAATAAAGTCGGTATTGCTGGGTGTTGGTTTCTGCCGAGAGGGGAAATGGGTTGTTTGGTCCCCACTGGTGGGAGGAGGTGGTGATTGAATTTGAATTAAAGTTATATATTGATAGGGAAGGTGTCAACCTCATGGATATGTCATGGGAAAGCTTGAGAGGACAGAAAGAGAGGATTCATAAAATTCAGGTATCGTTTTCATTATGACATTATCGATTTTATTTCTCCTAAAGTATTCCAATTTTGCCTTTTAATTCATTTTTTTAGCAAATGTTTTGGGAACCTCAATTATTTTGCAATCAACAAGAATCCTTCATTTAGTACGCCATTTTGGTTTAATTTGAATATTGATTTACATTAAATAATCATTTCTGTTGCTGCATCTAGACCAGTAGACACTCAAATGAATAAGCGTGACTTTGTCCAGATAACGAAGCACTTCTTACTCTTGTACGGGTCATCTTTGCCCAGTTGGCCCGACAAAAGGATGTATCGATATTAATATCGATACGTCAAATTTTGTCGATATTAATATTGATAAAATTTGACCGTAAAATTTATTTACGCCCTTAATTTAAGGACGTAAAAAGTGTGTCACTATTCAGAAAATATTACCCATTCATTACTCCGAGTGTGAAGTTTGTGGCTGCATGACTGTTGATTTGTTACATTCAGATATTTAATTCGGTATTTTCTCTTCAAAATATACAGCGTATTTTTTTCTTAAAATATATCTTTAGTGTTTGAATTTGTGGACAAAATTTTCGTTAATTGGGAAACGTCCATTCTTCTTTCACTTCTAATTCCTATTGAATTCGTGATATATGCTTGATATTTATTCTATGTTTAGAGTTTTAATTTTCATGTAAAATTCGAAATCGAATTTTTTATTTCGGTGCAAATTTTCTGCTTGTATCAAATTTCCTCTTTTTCAGGCAAAAATCGCGATAAAACGACAAGCGAAGGTTTCCTTAAAAGTACGAAGCGTGACGTTTTAATTATTATTATAATTATTATTATTTGAGTGAAGTGTTGAAATTGTATCTGCATCACCGCGTTGATTTTACCTTAACTCGTGTTGAATTTACTGCATCGTAAGCTTGGATTTACGCACTTGTTTTTTGAGGTACAATCGTGGGAGTCTCTGCCGTCGTTATATCCCTAACAAAATTTAGAGTCGCCCCAGCTTCTGGTAATCCAAATCAGAAGCTGCCGCGCCTGTAAATTTTCACTGGGTAACAAAATTTAGAGTCGCCCCAGCTTCTGGTAATCCAAATCAGAAGCTGCCGCGCCTGTAAATTTTCACTGGGAAGAACTCCTATATATCGACATTATTCACTAATGTGTGGCTAAATTCACCTATACTATATATCACGTGTGACTATCCGGGATAATTATCAAACGCGGTACTTAAAAACTACGAATGTTACTATTTTTAGCGCATTTTCTCATTTATGGAAAAAATGCACTATTGTGCTCGCCATGTCCGTCCGTCTGTCTGTCTGTCTGTCTGTCCGTCCGTCCGTGACCTCAAGCTTTCGTCGACGAGAAAATGCGCTCACTGTCACTCACTGCAGTGAGTACTGAGTTATATTTTTTACCATATACTCATACGAAATAAAGAAGTCAAATTTAAATCAATATCAAGGTAAAGTTATATATACGCCTCAAGTAATGCACAAAGATCGACTTGTGTCTCGTGCAATAAACTACAAGTGACGTATTAATGCTGGAGCTGCACAACTACCCAGGCAATTTATAGTCACGTGAACGATGAAAAACGCACAAATATCAGTGTGATAGATTTGTTTCCTTCAATTATATCTACAATCAAAGTAATAAAAATAAGAATATTGCAACAGTCTAAAACATCTCATTTACCATTGATTAGCTACAGAAAACATTAGACGTCGCTTACAACAATTTCAGTATTCAGTTCCACTTATTCAGTTATTATTTATATTATTCAGTGTATGATATTCAATCCCACACTGAATATCGAAATTATTAGCGGGCATTAATTGATTCTATTCTACTAAGATATATGAGCTTTTTTCATACATTAATAATCGAATTCTACATCTAATTTCTCGATTAAATTTATAAAATTACCCGCAGAGGCCAATTTTTTTAAACATCAAACTCTTGTTTTTCGTAATGGCCTCACATTTGGTCTAAACTAAAGAATCGATGCGGCACTGTCTTTATTGGCAAATTAGTCGGCTAATTAATAGCATTTATAATTAGAAACGTTAATATGGTACTTAATCTTTTAAATAACAAAAAAAAACATAAGTTTATTAATGTGTTCAAGTCTCGGCGGTGGAGGTACGTGCGATCAAGAAGAAGGAGAAGGAAAAATCTAAACGTAAGTTAAGAAATTATTTACTCAAACACAATTAATTCTATTTTAACTTTACAGTTAACGTAAATTATTCGTCCATTATTTATTATTGAACCTAAGACATTCACGACGTCGTAAGCATGGCTTGCGTATCAGGATCCACTTTAAGATATCACTCGATGGCTGCTTGTGATGTACAGCTTTATTATATAGTTAATCATATTACCTACTTATTGTTCTTATATGTTCAGTATTTCTCGCTCGATTGCTGCTTAACTGTGCTGTACTGCTTTATTATAGTTAGTCATATTACCTACTTATGGTTCATATATGTTCAGTATTACCTTACTTATACGTTCTATTGATAGATATATCTTTATTCATACCACATTATTATGTGTACCGTCCTATCCTTACTAGAAATCAGAACGGTCAGTAATTACATTTGCCACAGCACGTCATGGTTTAAATTTTCATTCACGCGAATTTGTCCTTAGAATAACGAAATTTACGTTCATTTTGCTTGTGCAAATTACGACGCATGCGCCATGACTCTGCAACATTAACTTGAACTGCATATTTTTGATGATTTTTTCTTAGTATAATACATAACAGATGTTTTACTCAACATATCAACACCTTAATCATACCAGTAACTCCTTAATCGTAGCAGTAACTCCTTAATCGTAGCAGTAACTCCTTAATCGTAGCAGTAACACCTTAATCGTAGCAGTAACTCCTTAATCGTAGCAGTAACTCCTTAATTGTAGCAGTAACTCCTTAATCGTAGCCGTAACTCCTTAATCGTAGCAGTAACTCCTTAATTGTAGCAGTAACTCCTTAATCGTAGCCGTAACTCCTTAATCGTAGCAGTAACTCCTTAATCGTAGCCGTAACTCCTTAATCGTAGCAGTAACTCCTTAATCGTAGCAGTAACTCCTTAATCGTAGCAGTAACTCCTTAATTGTAGCAGTAACTCCTTAATTGTAGCAGTAACTCCTTAATCGTAGCAGTAACTCCTTAATCACACCAGTAACACCTTTTGAGATGTGGATCCTCCTTGCATGTTTAACCTCTAACAGCTTGAACGTCTATGCAGCATGCAGTTCAAATCAGTTAGCATGCAGATGATTGCATATCTTCTTTCAACTTGTCGTCTCCCAACGATGCCCTGATCTTCTCAATATTTTACAGCAGTTTATTTCGTCAATTCACTGGAAGAAATTTGTATAAATTAAAAATATGCAACATGAAAATTCTTATTCAGTGGATTTATGTTACCGATATTGAAAAAGTGCGCTTAAAGTAGAAATCTATGCTTCAGTTTGTATTTCGTTTCGTTCGCTGTTGAATTTCGCAGCACAGGCGATGGACATGTTCACCAGCACACGTGATGGACATGTTCACCAGCACAGGTGATGGACATGTTCACCAGCACAGGTGATGGACATGTTCACCAGCACAGGCGATGGACATGTTCACCAGCACGTTTCTCTCTTGAAAACTTTTCAATTTTTTTACTCATTGCCTGCGTATGTTGTTACATGTTCGTAAATTTTATCTGTATGCTTGAGTTTCTTGAAAGAAAGAATTTCGATCTCCTCGTAATGTATGCATTTTTCCTCAATGCTTGTGAGTAAAATCCCGTGAGTACTCATAAGCTTTGTGCATGAATTCAATGAGTGTGTTATACCACCATTAAGTGTTTCGTGCCTAAAGGAATTAAAATATTGTAAAGAAGTTAAGTCAGTCATATTGTTTTGTTATTACTTATTGGTGTATTGCGGCCAGTCTCAACAGTTCTGTATAGTGGACATGCGTTCCTATTAAAAGGATTGACGCAAAATTTCCCTATATTATTGCGATTATGGACTGACCATTACAATAAATTTTTTGTAGTTCAGCCTAAAAATTCAAATGTTTTTATATGTAATATAAAAAAATAATTAGTAATAGTAATATCGTGTATTTAGTACAGCGATGTAGTTTTTGAGAATATAGATGTAGCATAGTGAGTACCGTCAAATACTAGTGGCGTAGTAAGGTGATATTAGTGATGAAGTACAGTGTCGTAGTAAGATGATGTTAGTGATTTAGTACAGTGTCGTAGTAAGGTGATGTTAGTTATGTACTACAGTGACGTAGTATGATGATGTTAGTGATGTAGTACAGTGACGTAGTAAGATGATGTTAGTGATGTACTACAGTGACGTAGTAAGATGATGTTAGTGATGTAGTACAGTGTCGTAGTAAGGTGATGTTAGTGATTTAGTACAGTGACGTAGTAAGGTGATGTTAGTGATGTACTACAGTGACGTAGTAAGATGATGTTAGTGATGTACTACAGTGACGTAGTAAGGTGATGTTAGTGATGTACTACAGTGACGTAGTAAGGTGATGTTAGTGATGTACTACAGTGACGTAGTAAGGTGATGTTAGTGATGTACTACAGTAACGTAGTGAGGTGATGTAGTACAGTGACGTAGTATGTTGATGTTAGTGATATATTACAGTGACGTAGTATGGTGATGTTTGTGATGTAGTACAGTTACTTAGTATGATGATCTCAGTGATATATTACAGTGACATATTATGTTGATGTTGTACAGTGACGTATTATGATGATGTTACTGATGTAGTACAGTAACTTAGTATGGTAATTATCGCATTTATGCCCCCCCCCAGGCCGCAGCTACCGCAAGCTCCGGGAAGGTACGTTGGCCAAGTGCGAGGAGTTCACGACGAACTTGTTCCGTCTGGTGTACCTGGACACGACGTGTCCCAGCGCTGGTACCAGGGGTGGCACCAAGACAAGTTGCCACAGCGCCAACGACAACGTCTCCCCCCCTGGGACCATCCACAGTCCCCTGCCTGATGAGGAGAAGGCTGGGGTCCAGTCATAGTTGTGCCGTTAATACGTTGTGTGGGGACGTGTTGGCCGGGGACGTGTTGGCTGGGGTGTGTTTGCAGGGACCGTACTTGCCGGGGGTGTGTTTTTAGGGACCGTGCTTGCCGGGGGTGAGTTTACCGGGGACGTGTTTGTAGGGACCGTGCTTGCCGGGGACGTGTTTGATAGGGAGGTGTTTATAGTGAAACGTGCTTATAATGGGGACATGTTTGCCGGGGACGTGTTTACCGGGGCCATGCTTGCCGATGACGTGTTTTCACAGGGGACGTGCTTGCAGGGGACGTGCTTAGAGGGGACGTGTCTACCCGGGACGGGCTTACCGGGGACGTGTTGACCGGGGACATGCTCTCCGATGACGTGTTTTCACAGGGGACGTACTTGCAGGGGACATGCTTGATGTGGACGCGTTTTCCGCTGAAATGTTAACTTTGGGAAACGGGTACCGGGAACGTTTTTATTGAGCAGTTTTTAGCTTAGCCGAAACTACTTTTATTATGGCATCTTTATGTACATTAATCCCTCGTTTTGAGCGGGTTTATCTCTAATAGATACGCAATGTAACAGGTTTTCCATTTTAAAGTGAATTTTAGCCGCTATATCACGTAATCGAGGGGAAACCCTAGAAATAAGTATCATGATTTGCGTAATAATTTGCTAAAGACGAATTAACATTTTGTATACTGGCCCGAGATTGGTCATTGTGTTGTGTACCAAAATCACGAGCTTTATTCCATTGAATAAATTCAATTCTTATTACAGCGCTATAGTAACAACTTCAACTTCGCTTTTTGCATCAATAATTTTTGTGCCATTTTTTCTGATTGTGCCCACTGGAAATTGGCCCTCAGACGTGACTCATTAATAAAGATTGCGAGGGATTCTTTTAAAAGTCCATACTCTGGGAGAGCTCAAGCAGCCCAACTTTTCATTTAAAAAATTAATATATTATTCCTATTCATAGGAAAAATTAGAATTGACCTGATAATAACTAACTTGGCTTGCATTAATTGTGAATTTAATTCCGTGAAACAGTTACTATTGTTTAATGAAAAAAATTCAGAAAAATGTTCCCTACATTTCTGTGAAAATTTCATATTGTTCACAGGAGAGTTAATTCGTTATTCATCTTGAATCGATGCTAGCGCACTGAATTTTTTCCAAGTCGAGTCATGATGAAATAACTGTAAAAAAATCAATGGCTTGGTGTGTAAATTTTATTCATGGTCGGTACCTTCGTTGAGTTTGAATAAAAAAATCGTATTACAAGGGTAGACCTCAACAAAGGATACTCATGAATCTTCAAGTTTTAATAAAAAAATCGTATTACAAGGGTAGACCTCAACAAAGGATACTCATGAACAAGGTCTCAAAGCACTCGTCGTTTATTATATTTAGATTAAGTGTTAAAATAAATGTGTGTTAGCGCGGTAGATTTCGTTTTATATAATAATAGTTAAGTCTGGGCCAATAATGCCCACCAAAGGATATTAGAATAAAAACAATAAGGATGACTTAGAATGAGTATTCAAATTAAGATATATCTGGTCTTTCAATCTTTAATTGTTGACAATACTGATGGATGTGATGCCATGTATATCGTTGATAATAAGTTAACATGTTCATTATTCAGATTTATAGTTGAATATTTATTATTCCACTTACGGAACGAGTATAAAGCTTGCAGATGTAAAATATTATTTTGGCTGAATTATAGGCGGCCATTTATAGGCTCATCCGACCATAATTCGGTGAATATTTCTAATTATGTATAATGCTTCGTTTTTATAATAGAAAATTTTCAATTTCTTCATCGGCATCAAGATTGCAACTTGGCAGTTAAAGTTACATGCTACACTGCTGAAACAGTTCTGTGCTTCTTGTATCGTTCTAATTTCTAGAAATTTCTGATGTTTAATTCCAAATTTCATTTCTGATCTCAAATGAAAAAAGGAAACGTTACATGGGGGAACAGTTCATGGAATTAAACAGCGCTATGATGATATAACAGGACATAGAGTTCTATGCATTCATTCATTACATTACTTTGTAATCCTAATAGGTCTACGCATTCATTCATTAAATTGCGTTGTAATCCTCAGAAGTCTACGCATTCATTCAGTAAATTACGCTGTAATCACCAGAAGTCTACTCACTCATTCATTACATTATTTGTAATCCTCAGAAATCCACGCATTCATTCATGAACTTTGGCTTGCGGTCATGAAAGGACTTACCATCATTTTTTTAAAACTTACGATTATTACGGAACATACGAGCATCGTACAATTTACGATCATCACGGAACATACGAGCATCGTACAACTTACGATCATCACGGAACATACGAGCATCGTACAACTTACGATCATCACGGAACATACGAGCATCGTACAACTTACGATCATAGTACTCAGGGATTAATGCATTTATACATTATTTTTTAGTGATATTCCTTTGTCCTGCGTTCATTTTTACGAATCACATCAACAATGCATGAATATTTCAGAGCACAAGCATTCCTCTCCTCATTCATCTTGCTCCTTCCGTTCTCCAATACTCTGATTCTCTACACAACAGTTTCTGAATGTCACTCGATTGAAATTTAAGTGATTAACCGTAAACAATCTCAATTTTTATTTTCATTGGTCAATTGTCCCATTAATAAATAAATTAACCGGTCTACAAAACTCAACTGTCGTTCATGTAACTAAAACTAAAAAACGTTGGAACACATCCATGCGACAACATTTCTTCTCGCTTCGAGTCACCGACATGTGGAACAGCCTCCCTGATAGCATCGTTGACGCTCCGAGTATGAACATCTTCAAAAACAGACTAGACGAAGCTATGCAGGAGCATATGTTCAGTCTTAAAATGCCTAGCAAATTACGGACCAGGCAATAAGTCCAGCAGCTATCTCAATCAATCGTCAGTTATGGAAAGATCGGGTTCCAAAGGCCGGATCCCTTGTGAATCAAGTCACGAAAAATTCAAGAATCGGCAACAGGCCATGGGCCTATTACTTCAGCGCCGACACTTCTATTCTATTCTATGTTTTCAGTGACCAAACACCGAACATTTTTGGCGATGACTAAATTTTGTTAGCCATTCATCAGTCGTGTTTCACAATTAATTTGCCAATGGACGACGTAGATGTTAGGTTTACGAATGTTGTTCGTAAAATTATAACAGTTTTGAGTAAGTGATTATGACTCTCATACGTCATAATGATGTAGTTAAATGTTTCGCGGAAACATCATATTCCACTTTCAAATCTCGCCAAAAGTCTAATGCCCCCAATGGTGAAGAACAATAAAAAATTATTCATAAATTCTCCCCGATCATCAAAGGGTTAAGTTACACTCTGCGTGTACACGATGATCGTAATTTCTATGACAATCGTAAGTCATACAATGATCTTAATGTCCATGACAATCGTAAATCATTCAATAATCGTTATTTCTACGACAATCGTAAGTCATACAATGATCGTAATGTCCATGACAATCGTAAGTCATACAATGATCTTAATGTCCATGACAATCGTAAGTCATTCAATAATTGTTATTTCTACGACAATCGTAAGTCATACAATCATCGTAATTTCTATGAAAATCGCAAGTCATACAATGATCGTAATGTCCATGACAATCGTAAGTCATACAATGATCGTAATTTATACGACAATCGTAAGTCATACAATGATCGTAATTTATACGACAATCGTATCTCATATAATAATCGTAAGATAGTACCACCTGAGCTAATTTACTTATGTCTTAAGCAATAAATGTCACAAATGAGTATACATATGCAGTAATTAATTTATATTTGCACAAACAACCCTGCAATTTTTAATTGTAGATCATATCAAAAAACCAGGTGCATCGCAAGCTGAAAGCCTACAATTATATTATATTTATGATTAAAGTTTGTAAATTTAGGATTGTTGTTGTAATTAAAGTAATAGCTGTTAATTACTTTATTATGTGTAATTATTTTAATGAAAATATTACAGGTAATCGCTTTGAAGAATCAAGGTACGAAGCTTATTACATGCAACGTGCTAGCACAAATTCTTGGTATTTGTTTAGACTTATAAGTATTAATATGAATATTAATATGAATATGACCTTTTTCACATTAGTAAGCTTGTTAACTTATATAAATTAAACACAACTAACATATGAACAAATGTATGTATTGACGCTTACTTGGCTTCATGTGTGTCTTTATGTCTAACGCGCTTAATAATTAGCGTGAACACGACGCCTAGCGTGCCTGGTAGCGTGTACACAACGCCTAGCGTGCCTGGTAGCGTGAACACAACGCCTAGCGTGCCTGGTAGCGTAAACACTACGCCTAGCGTGCCTGGTAGCGTGAACACATTGGTAGCGTGTACACAACGCCAAGCGTGCCTGGTAGCGTGAACACGACGCCTAGCGCGTCTGGTAGCGTGAACACAACGCCTAGCGTGCCTGGTATAGCGTGTACACAACGCCTAGCGCGCCTAGTAGCGTGTACCCAACGCCTAGCGTGCCTGGTAGCGTGAACACGACGCCTAGCGTGTCTGGTAGCGTGTACACAACGCCTAGCGTGTCTGGTAGCGTGTACACAACGCCTAGCGTGCCTGGTAGCGTGAACACAACGCCTAGCGCGCCCAGTAGCGTGAACACGATGCCTAGCGTGCCTGGTAGCGTGAACACAACGCCTAACGTTTTATTTTAAGCTCTGGAATGCAGGTGTGGAATAAATAGCTCACATTTTTATTAATAAAACAATATAATTCCCAATAATGAAAGATTGAAAAGGTTCATCGCTTGTCAATAGAAGCATACTTAATAGTTATTGGAATCATACCTACCATATACATTTAAAGTATCTACGCTTTTAATACGTATATAATTGCTCAAATACTACAATTATTCCTGAAACTCTCATACAGTGTTCAGTTTAAACCAATATTGGAGGGCCTGCTTGTGCGATGCTTGCATAGATTAATAATAATAATAGCGGTTTCAGCGTTTATTAGGCCATAGGCCTGTCGCCAATTCTTAACATAGCAGAACATCCACAGCTTGTTGCGGTCTCGAACTCGCAACGCACTGCCACAATTCTGCTGTGCTTAACCGCCCGGCCTCCTCGCCGATTCTGACCAGAAACTGACGCACAGAGCTGGGATCGAACCCGCGCCTCTCTGCTCCAATCCTGGTACTCTGAACTTTAACCACTGGGCCATGTCACCCTGCCCTTAGGCTGATTATCCTGTTGTGTGTTTTCACTAGCAGCAGCAGGTTGTTGGTGGTCATTACTTGTGGTTGTATGGACACACTAGCAGCAGCAGCTAGGTTGTTGGTGGTCATTACTTGTGGTTGTATGGACACACTAGCAGCAGCAGCTAGGTTGTTGGTGGTCATTACTTGTGGTTGTGTGGACACACTAGTAGCAGCAGGTTGTTGGTGGTCATTACGTGTGGTTGTGTGGACACACTAGCAGCAACAGGTTGTTGGTGGTCATTACTTGTGTTTGTATGGACACACTAGCAGCAGCAGGTTGTTGGTGGTCATTACTTGTGTTTGTGTGGACACACTAGCAGCAGCAGGTTGTTGGTAGTCATTACTTGTGGTTGTGTGGACGCACTAGCAGCAACATTGTGTCCACCTTCAAAGATTTTCCGAATGATTTGTCGAAGTTTAGTAAGCTTCACCACAAGTATAGGATCTGGCATTCGTTGCAGTGAGCTAACCATTTTGGCCTACGAATTTTAAAACTTCATTGCAATTTTGGTGCACATGCAATCAATAATGTTCTTCATGCATCAGCTGCATTTACATTTTTGGTGTTGTCACTTCCGTCGTCATGTGCATGATTGTTTGGTGGTTACTGAAAACTTTGTATCATGTCGAAAATGTTGATACGCATGCGTGCCTTGTATTAGATGATGGCACGTTGCTGTTCTTTAATAAATTTATGAACGTTTATTTTTCTTTTGCAATGCTCAGCGACTATACAGTCGAATGTATTTCCAAACACGCCGCCATTTGCAGTCATCACAAATAACGCGTTTCAATTTCTTAAAGAAAACTGGAAAACGCACAGACTTCAACATCAAATTTTGAATTAAGGATTCAGTCGAGCGTGGTTTGCGTAAGTAGCCACGCTGCTAAGTAGTGAGTGCCACGGGCCTAAGTAGCCACTCTGTTAAGTAGTGGATGCTACGGGCGTCGTTATAGCCGCGCTGCTAAGTAGTGGGTGCCACGGACCTAAGTAGCAGTACTGCTAAGTAGTTGGTTCTGCTGGGGTAAGTAGCAGTACTGCTAGGTAGCAATATTTGTACAAGTATTGTGCGGCGATTTATGTAGATGAGAAATTTGGTACACACCTGTGCTGGCATCAAGAAGTCCCGTGTACAACGAACTTGTTTGTCTAACGCGGGGATTTGTTCCGTGTACTACGAAGTTGTTCGTCTAACGCGGGGATTTGTTCCGTGTACTACGAACTTGTTTGTCTAACGCGGGGATTTGTTCCGTGTACTACGAACTTGTTTGTCTAACGCGGGGATTTGTTCCGTGTACTACGAACTTGTTCGTCTAGTACGATGATTGTCAACGTCCGTCTATGTATTTCTAGGTCATAAGTTATCACATTCTCATGCCTATTTCAGTGTAATGTCGTCAGAGTCTTCGTCACTTATTAAGTCTTTTGATGTTTTTCAAGCCCTCCACTGATCAAAATAAATGCCATTTATTATATGACATTTTATTATAATTCCATATTGGTTTACTCAAACTTTCGATTTAAATCTTCATTTTATGAGTCTTTCACCACCGGCTATCGGTGACCAATTCCTTTATTAATACTAATTAAATTACTTCATCCACCGGTAAATGAGATACTAATTTGAAATGAACTATCATACACAAGCAATTAGCTAAAACACGTATTTTAACGTAATATATGTTAACTTTGAAAATAGTTCACTAACTTTGGACTACAAATTTGTACTTAGCTGATGAATATATTTATTCAAGTATAATGAAAATTATTGGAGACAAAGGTTTCTCACAGTCTCACTCCCTTCTGACGGTCGGAGACTTCGGTTCCCGAGTTTCCCACTGAAGTGTTGAAAGCTTGAAAGAGTGAATGGGAGGCGAAGTTGAGGGTATCATTCGTTTAATTAATTACGTTTACCATGTACGTGAAGCGAGTCGGTATGGCGGACAGAACGCATGTCAGTCAAAAATTACCCACAATTTTCGTTTGTTTTTAATAACGATTTTTTTCGTTTGGAGTTTGAAGATAGATTGTAATCTTGGTAAGGATAGGTCGAAGATTCTAACTACATAATATACTGAAATGTTAGGTGCAATTTCATTAGACTTATCGAATTTTGCGTGTCTCCACTTGTTGCTTGTCTAATCTGATTTCAATAAATCAATGTAATCAGTTTTAGTTTACTTCAGCAATAACATATAAAAGCTAAACACTTGGCGTTGAATCATGGCGATCATGCTGAAAAAAATTCCCCCACATCCAACAGACAACCACTCCACTGAATCCACTGACTGAGTGGATTCAGAATCCATCTTTGGAGACTGAGTCATGTGGATACAGATCACAAACCCACGTGACTTCTTCAACTTCAACCCGTCTACAGCAACAATCGGGAGCCTGGGAGGTGCTTCGGACACCACAAGTCTTAAAACCAATTAAAAATATATATAAAACTCAGTACTCACTGCAGTGAGTGACAGAGAGAGCATTTTCTCGTAGACGAAAACGTGAAGTCACGGACGGACGGACATGACGAGGCACGAGCTCGGGCACAATAGTGCATTTTTTTATAAATGAGAAAATGCGCTAACAATCACATTCCAGAGCCAGAAACAGTTTGACTTAATAGAATGCTACGCCAAGTCAGTTGAACCGGTATTTGCATATCAAATTACGAGCAAAGTGTATTACACAGAAATTTCAACTCTTTTTCAAGTTATAGAATAGAAGTATCGGCATTGAAGAAATAGGCCCATAGCCTGTTGCCATAGGCTACGAGTTTTACTACGAAACCTGTGATCCGGTCACAGGTTCCGAATTCTGACCGAGGGCCAGAATTCAGACTCAGAGTTCAGACTAGTAAATGAAAACGGTAGTTCGCGACTTCACGACGGATCACAGTCATCACACTACGAGCCTTGAACAGTTGAAATCTTGAAACTAATCTGCTTAGGTGAGCAACCTCGCCGTCGGGCGTCAGGCCTCGCCGCCTCACTCCTCGTCGCCTTCTCCTGCTGGCTGCTGCAGTTAGTGCAGTGCTTTTGCTTCTGCTGCAGGTGCAGAGCTGAGAGCACAGCTCAAGATTCAACGGCAGTGCTTCCTTACCGTAGGAATTTACGCTTTCCCTTTACCACTATTTTCTGAACATTTTTTACCTGCTGGTCTTTCCACTCCAACTGCTGAAGCAGTAGTCGCAGAAGTGATAAGTGATATATCCAGACTCAAGAATTATCACTGTGTTCCTTTCACAGTTGGTGAGTTTTCTCAGGCTATTCGAGCACTGAAAAATACTGCTCCTGGCCATGACTTAATTATGAACATTTTCTTTTCAAAAGCTTCACCATGGTGCAAGCAGGAATTGCTCTCTCTTTTTAACACAAGCTGGACCTCTGGATTTGTCCCTGAAGCATGGAAACATGGAATAGTTGTGCCTATACCAAAACCTGGAAAGGCTCCAGAACAAGTGACAGGGTATCGACCCATCACTCTCCTTCCTTGTATGGGAAAACTCATGGAGCGCATGGTTTTGCGCCGCCTGCAGCATACATTGGAAAGCCGAAATGTCTTCTCTTCGCTCCACCTTGGTTTTCGNGGTCATGCTGGTGTGAAAGCCCACTTGGCCCGCTTCAATTTGGTCAATTCCGGCATCTGCCCCACATGCAACACAGAAGACACAATTGAGCATTTCATTTTGCACTGTTCGCTATACATCAATCAGAGGAGGGAGTTTCGCTCAAATCTGGAGAACCTTTTACTTCCTTGGAACCTCATCACAGCTCTGGGAGGGGGTGATATTCCCCAAAAAAGGAGAACTGCAGTCATTCATCGCCTGGGACAATACCTGCTAAAATGCAGCATGGTGAACACCCTATGAAAATTATCAGTGCCTAATTCCTTTGTTATTTTCTTCCACACAAAATACCCTTTGTGAGAGCATGAGGAGAGATTCAAAGTGAAGTGAAGAGGCAGTCGAGTTGGAGTTTTCAAGAAAAATCAAGTTGTGCTCAGGCTGGGAGGTGTGACTGCTTCACACCCGAAGTCTTAAAATCAAATTAAAAAAAAAATTCCTTACCGTAATTAACCATGGCCATGTGTAAGTTAGAGAGGTACAAAGAGAATATTTTATAAATTCAATATTAAACCTGCTAAATTCCTTTGAATTTCTACAAATAATCCTATTTGATTGATTGGTAGCTTGTCAAGTTTTCTATATTTTGTGGCAAAGTAGATCATTTTTTGTTGCTCTTCCTCAAGTTCATTTCTGAGTCCTATAACTAGTACCTATAAGATATAATACAGGACTATAACGTCTATAAGTCCACTCACTCGGTCACTCCACTCAGTCCACTGAGTCCACTCAGTCCACTACCACTACTCACTACTCAGTACTCACTAGTCAGTAGTCACTACTAGTAAGTTAGTAACTACTAACCACTAACCAGTGAGTGTCTTGGACATCACATAGACATAGCCTACTAAGCCTAGTATAGGTATACCTACTACCTACATACCATAATTTTCTTATGTATAATAAATAAGAAATTGATTGAAATATTGAGTAGCAGTAGCAAGTAGCTAGATGAGGAAATTGAAAAGGAACTGATTCTTGAATATCTCTGGTTTGCAACTAGTATGTTTTTTGACAACTGACAAGTGTGTCAATTAGTGAGATATGGCATATGGGTCCCTCAGTATCTGTAATCTGTCAAACTCAAACTCAAAGTGTCAAAGCTGATATTGTCATTTTGTCCCCACAGCAGTCAGGGCTTATTTCACTGGCCTGTGGCCCATAGTGACAAACCAGAGATTTTTTAGAATCAGTTCATTTTTAATCTCCTCATTTACTCAAGATTTAAACCAATTTCTTATGTATGATAATGCTGGTAAGTGGTATCCATGATACTTTGCTTATCTACTTATAGGACTCAAAAATAAACTTGAGGGAGAGTCTAAAAAACTCTCTGCTTTGCCACTATGCAGTGTGGCCTTTAATAGAAACAATCTATTTTATAAACAAAACTGATCAACATCTTTCTAGCAGTATCAAAGCAGACTTCAGTCATTGCAATTGAATGATTATTGAAGCAATGAAGCACACATAACATAGTTCTGAACTTCTTACTTCTGACTTCTGAGCACTTCTGACAAGTACCGTATATGACATGATTTTTAGTAACCAGATCAGCCACTATGAGCTGGAGGCTTGGAGCTGAGTAGTACTGGGATGGGACAGGTTGAAACCTTTGGAACTGTACTCGCTGGAGACTGTGGAGAGGAGAGAGGTATATCATACTGTCCTCTTGGATAATTAGAAGAGGAATGGCTCCCAACTTCAAAAATGAGACCTCCAAAATATTGATATATTTCAACAAAAGAAGGGAATTTTATCCCATTTATACCCATTTATAAAAACAGCTGCCACTAGACTCACGGCCAGAGTACAGACTTTTTGTGAAGGATCACTTTCCGTGACAGGACCAAGGCTCATTAATGCCAACCAAAGGTGCTGAAAGGAGTAGAGTTCACGCTTGTGACATTCAAGAGATGACTGGATGAGTTTTTTTTTAGCAAGATCCCAGATTGTCCAAAACTACCACCCTCAGCAAGTAACAAGCAACAGCATTTTATGTCAGCTGGCCAAAGTAGGGCAGATAGACAGAACATATTTAACGTTACCTCAGGGACCGAATGGCAGAGCGACCTGCCAGTTGACCACTTGGAGATGGAGATGATGAAAGTGGTGCATCTGCTTGACTGTGGAGTAGGATGTCCTAAAGTTGTCATATGGTGGAGTGATGTAGATATACTCAAGATTGGAATCTTCTCCTTTATGAATGAAATTCTGCAGCTTTTAAGTTCAATGTATCCAAATTCCAATTTTCCATACTACTTATGGAAAATTGGAATACTCATGCAATTGGAATACTCTTGGTCCAATCATGCAGCTTTATTACAATTAGATAGGAGACAATTCATCTAGCAGCTCCAAAAATGGCAAGAACGCTCTAGTCACAGCTCCAATGGTAGATATATTTGATAGTAGGTATCATGTTGTAGCACGGCATCAAAAAATCTAGGGCAGAAACATGCTGCGCAGATGCTTTTTATTACTCGTATTAATATATAAAATTGCAATAATAAATGAAAAACTAACATTGAAAAAAAAAATGGAGTTGTTATATATGTCACATAGGGTGATACATACCCACCATCTATGACATACAAGTTACCACATGGCAGATGTATGTACTGTACCACTCTTAATTTACTACTTGTCAATAAAAACCATATAATACTGGGCTGAATTAAAATTGGTAGTGTTTGATTGCCTCATTAAATTTAGGAAGCCTTTTCAACTGTGCTAGAAAGTCATGGCTCCATTTGTTCAACAAAATAGGTGATTTCTTTTGAAGCCCAGTGACACAAGAGCGGTAGCTAAGTTAGTGGCGACAATAATCAAAAACTGTTCCATTACCATTACATAAATCTTTCTTAAATGTCTTGAGACATTTAAATACTGTATGATTTGAGTCATGTTAAAATGTCCCAAGACATTCAATGCCTTGAGATATTAAAAATGTGAGTTATATATGTATATACTAACCATTTAAATATAATTGGGTCATGTTACTCAGTTGAACCAAGAATGCATGAAGCCTAAGAACTGATGGTGTTTATATAATTTCCTGATAATTTTTACAGTGGCTTGAGAGTGTGTGAGATAGTGAACCCATCTTGGCTCCACTGCGGGCACATTGAGAGTTTAAAATGGCCACGTCAACTGCCCTCTTGCCTGCCATGCCTGCCTCCTCTCATCCTCAGGTGTTGAGCTAATTTCTGTTTCTTAAAATAATTTAATGACTGCTTGATTTTATAGCATGAAATTTAATTAACTATTATTATTTATTTATATTATTTATTTTATTATATTAAATTATTGGTCCTAAAAATCCTGTTTATAACATTTCAGCTGCTTTACCTTAATTTAATGGCAGCTGTTATAAGTACTCCCTGACAGAATTTGACTTCATTTTTATTATATAAATATTGTAAAATCAGATATTTAGTAAAGTATGGTAAATGTTCTGTTTGAGGAGTACCTATAACTCCTGGTGGCTCTTATAACAACTAGATTGTGATAACATCTATAACCAAATTGTAATGATATTTGCAATCTAGAAAATAAAGTTTATTTAAACCCTATTCTTATAAGGTGCACCCTTATGAACATCTCCCGGTATAATCATGTTTTTATTTATTAGTGGTATTGAGCATGAACTATGCAACACTCTTCTAGGGCTAAAACTGCTAGACTAGATTCGGGCTAACTAGACACAACTGCGTGTGCAGTGTTCAATCAATAAAAATCTAAAAATTGTGTTACAGATGAAAAACATATGGCAGTTGAAGGAAGACATGTGGTTGCTGTCCATGGAGGTGCCTGGGACATCCCTGAGCCCTTGTGGGAGGCTTCCCTTACTGGTGTGAAGTTGGCGGCTCTGCGTGCTTTTGAGGTGTGGGCAACATATTGTATGTATGGAGTAATACTCCTGCACCAACACTGCTGCATGAAATTTTTTGTTTCCTTTTTGGCATCATCCTAAATAAAACAAGTAATTTAAACCAAGTTTCATGATTGTAATCATACTTGCTTAGAATATGCTTGATTTTTTTTTTTTTTTTTTTTTGCTCCTATTTTTTAATAATAGCGTTAATGGAAAATATATTTTAATTTCATGATAATTATTATCAATGCACATACTTATGTTGGTAAAATTTAAGTGTCCTGAGGTAATGAGGACTGTAACATGGCAGCAAATGTATTTTGTTTTTTTTTATGTTCAGAAATGAGTCAAATATTTGGGATATATATCAGATTTCCATTCTCATGATACTTGACAGAATCTTAGAGCTATCTAAGAAATCTGTTGGAGTTTAGTAAACTAAATATTTCTTAATCATAACTGTAGGACATTATTTTAAATGTAATTAATCTCGTCAGGTTATGGACGCTGGAGGCAGTGCTGTGGATGCGGTGGAGGCAGCTGTTGTCCTCATGGAGGAAGACCCTGTCTTTGACGCAGGTCTGCCTGCCCTCATACTCGTCCATTAATCTAATTAAAGTATAACTTGAGTTCCCACTTTATTTTATTAGCATAAAGACCTGGTTCCTAGTTTTCCTGTGTACATATAACTTTGAAAGGGGTTTTATTGTTGTATTTTGGTATCCTTGATTGACTCTCCAAGTTAGGTTAATGCTAATTTTGTTATGTTAATTTACTGTTAATTTTCATATATGCAGCTCTAAAATACTCCTCCATAAATAATCCACTACAATTTTCTTTGTCAGAGCTAAGGTCATCATTATCATCATCAGATCACAAGCAGAATATCATCACAACCAGAAACACAAACCAGAATATACTCGCAAAAACATAAAACAAGACATTGTTATTTGTAGTTGTATTTTGAGACGATCAAATTACTTCAATGTAATCACTGATTTTCAGAGGCAATCAGCTCAATTTGTGCTAAGCAATTCACTCAACTATGTACAACTACTACCATCAGTTTATATTCCCTTCTACAAACCAGGTCGTGGCTCGGTGCTGACCAGTGCTGGCACTGTGGAGGGTTGTGCTCTGATCATGTCAGGCTCCGACCTCAGTACAGGGGCTGTGGCTTGTGTCAGTAACCTACTGAACCCTGTCAGCCTCGCACGCAGGGTTATGACAAAGACCCCTCATGCTCTGCTCTCAGGTCAGCTTGTATATATTCAAGCAAGTCATACATATTATCTAATGGAAAGCATAATTGCATAAGCATAATTGTCTGGAAAGCATAATTGTCTATTGCCAAGAGGCCAAAGTTTGATTTCTGCCATTGAAGATTTGTAGGCGGTGCACCAACCTGGCCATGGACATACCTAGCTGTCTAAAATTCGGTATTTTTGTTTTGAATATCACTCAGAGTTCTGAGACATTTGGAAGAACTAAGAAAAAGATTCAGATTAAGTGCTTTATGATCTTTCTTTGAACAGTAGAGAAAAAGTAACATTAAAGCAGAAAGATCTTTCAAAAGTTTGAAGTGTTTTTTAAACATTGATAGAATATTGAGCCTGATTTTGTTGTTGAAATGTTTGAATTGTTGTTGAATTGCTTTCATTACCTGAGCAAAGTATCGTCATATCTTATGTGTTGATTTGGATTACACCTATAAAAAAATTGAATATATGGAATGAGACAAAATTCTTGTTAATCCTGACAATGTCTTGTCTGTTCATCCTGACAATATTTTGTCTGTTCATCCTGATAATGTTTCATCTTGACCATTTACTGTCTGTTCATCCTGAAATCTTGTCATCTTGCAAAAATTTTTTCCAAATGAAAACTTCTGCGATACCTTCAACAATTTTCAGAAATTCCAAACACAAAATGGAACGTATCCAAAAGACAAAATGTGTTTTGGTTCATTACCATAGCATAGTTTTTTTCTTGGCTATGGATGTAGACTATTATTTATCTACAGTGTTCATGAAAAAAAAAGGATAACAAGATATGTTATTTAACTTTTATTGACATCATACGTTCTTCTTTTTTATTCCAGCCTCGTCTTCTCTAGTTGAGCATTCATTAATGTACAATGTTGATTGTATATATACCAATCACTTTGATTCCTACTGACGATTAATTCGGTGTGCAGGCGCAGGAGCGGATGCTTTCGCCAGATCAGAAGGCGTGCAACAGCTGCCTGTAGAGGAGCTCATCACGGAAGAAGCACGTCGGCAGCTGGCGCTCTACCGTAAATACCGAACAACCGTTACTTCACTCTTTAACACGTGGGTGCTGATTTGTGTTGTTGATGTTCGTTGTTTTGACACTTAGGCACCCCGGGTGAGTGGCTCTGGAGGCGGGATCGCGAAAGGAGGGAGGGTAGAAAATGATGAAGGAAAGCCAAAAAGTATGCAGTCTGGAGAAGTATGGACTATCCCACAATGAGGAGACGGAAATGTCTGTGGGAAAAGACGCGCAGGAGAAGTACTCCAAAGAGTGAAAGCTATCCCACACACTTGGGACAAGCCGAGCTTAAGGAAATCCCCACCAGCGAGTTGGCTTGAGATGTGGCCCGACCCTGGTTGAGCCAGCAAACAGGGTCCAGGGTTTGGGTCCCTGCTCGGGCACCACTGTAAGAGATTGCTTTTCTGTGCCCCTCTTATATGAATGGTACGTAATTAAGTATGACCTGATGGATGGTTCTGTTGTAGCGTGATCCGAGGATATAGAGGAACAGCGTATATGATTATAGAATATACTTTAGGATTATAGTTCGGCTTGAAGTTGAGGATAATCTAAGTTTATATGTTGGAGCTTTGACATTGATGTCTTCGGCATCCAGTTGAAGTATGGATATGTCTAGAGTTTATCTTCTACTGTGACGTTAATTTAAAGTTACTGTCCTGATTGATATGGACAGGAGTAAGGGCTTACACACGACTGTTCTCGACCCAAGACTGAGGTTTCCTGGTCTGGGCAAATGACAAATCTGACGTCGCTATTTGACGTCACCAAGGGCGTGACTTGATAAACAGCGAAGGCTAATACCAGGAAATGTTTAAGAACATGTCGCAGTGAAGGAGATTATCTTTCAATGAGGAAATGTCCAAGAACGAATGGTATCAACAATCAACATTGTCACCTGACAAAAGAGGGGCGAGGAAGTAAGGCTTCCTCAGGTGGGTCGGAGGTGGTGGGCGGCCAGTGCCCTGTTGTTCTCAACGGTCTCCGCGGTATGAGAGATCGCGCTACGAAAAGTCTACCAGTACAAAATGATCGAAGTTTGATTACAAGTGCAGCTTCAGAGTTTTACCCCAACAGAGTAAAAATAATCTGGAAAATGGATTGTGGGTCATTCTAGCAAGAAACTGCGAGCAGGCAAGATCTAGGTGGGCAGCTATGAATAGAATTCCTGTCTTGGTGTGGAGGTGATCAATGGTGATAATCTTGAGGCAGCCAGTGGCGAGCCTCGAGGTAGAGTCATGGACAACCTGTAGGCTCGCGACGGCGGAATGGGATGAAAATCGATATACCAGATTATTGCTGCATAGTCGAGAATTACATGGGTGATGGTTTTGTAACTGGCCGTTATGACTCCCTTTGACAAACCCCAGCTGGTGCCTGCCTGAGCCTTCGAGATGCGTAGGTTGTTGTTGGCTTTAGTGACGATTGTCTTGATGTTGGGCTTCAGCAGAAGGTTAAATGAGCATCCTATGTGACTCCCGGAGTTTTTGAATATATTATAGTGAGTTGTTGCGACTATTGCCAATTTTGGCGATGGGCCAGGCAGTCTTTTGGCTGGTGGACCGCCAAGTCTGCCTTCATGATACTGTTTATAGTCTTAGAAAGGAAATAAATATGGCGAGGTCGTCGACGTTAGAGGTAATGTTGAAGGATGGTACCAGCAGTCAGAAATTGAGTATTTGAAGAAGGCTGGTGAGATTATTGACTACCATATGCATTTTTCTGACGAGATTGGGACCGGAACCGGAGTAAAGGTAGGAGGCTAGCAGGGGTCATCTCATCTTGATGTAGGTGTCGTGCCTTCCCTTTTTTAGAATGAGTAGTCGGCACTGACAGATCGATGGCAGCTGCCACAGCGCAAGCTGGAGGCCGCCTAGAGTTGGAGCTCGTCGCGATTTGGTGCGAGAGCGAGAGAAGTGCGGTTACTGTTGAGTTCGAAGCCGCGCTGTTAAGGGGAGGTGGCCAAGGAAGCCATGAGGTGGGGAAGCAAGAGCCGCTCCAAAATTTCACTCTGGACAAAGAAAATATGTAAAAAAACATGATCTCTTTAATTTTAGGGCTTTGTATAAGGTAGTTTTGCCGATAACTGGAATGATCTGAAGCGCTAGTAAATCTACTGCTATTAATGCAAGGAGAGAGACGGTGGAGATAGAAATATTGAAGAGTTTAGCCAGAAATTTGTTTATCTTTTGTCTAGGTGCTTCAGGTGGAAGATCGTCTGGCCTTCCGGTCCAGAGGCTGTAGAGTTGCTGCTCTGATAGCTAGTTTAACCAGCTGATCTGTGAAGGGGAGGAAGCCTCTGTCAAGAGGGTGGCTGGGGCTATAAGCATCGGTGTCGTCCGGAGCGAACTGCCTGCAGAAGGTGGAAGCAATCTCCCGTTGTGAGGTTATAGGCTTGCCTTTGAAAACTATTGGTTAGCTTAATGATGGGCGGGATCGCTTGGCATCTAAATAACAGATGTAGTTCAGGTGATTGGATGGGTTGTGCAGCTGTCGCACCTTATCAATGTAGACAAATCGTTACAGCTCGCAACATAAATTTCTTCCGTAGGCCAACGGCTAACCACTGTTGATTTTTTCATGTCTTAGATCTTTTAATGAACTATTTTATCATAAAAGAATAAAATAAATAAATTTGTATTTAATTACTGGGCGGTGCGCAGGGAGAGTGGAACGGTTTCAGCAAACGGAGATATTACTGGGCAACCGCAACAAGTGGCACAACAAGACAAACAACTAGCGTCGCCACAACAAGGCCATGACACAGTTGGTTGTGTGGCGCTTGACGCAGATGGCCATGTGGCGTGCGCTACATCCACAGGTGGCATCACCAACCAGCTGCCTGGACGAGTTGGGGACTCTCCTCTGGTGAGCCTCTGTGAAGTTTTTCATTTCCTGGGACGTGAATATATCCAATATGCAGAGCTGGGCAGCGCTACTTTGAAACGTAGCGGCCGCTACCGCTACATGCGTTAAATGTAGTGGGCGCTACCGCTACAATTGCTTAAATGTAGCGCCGCTACTGAAAAATGTAACGGCCGCTACATGTAGCGCGCTACTGCCCACCTCTGCCAATATGTTGACTTAGTTGTAGCGGAGTCTAATGGTGACTCAGCTACGTATACCGACTTGGGTCAGGATCTTGGAATGTAGCTTCGAATGAAAGAGTCGGCTACGATTCAAATGCATTGCGAGAAAATATATTAATATGAATCGACGATTCGTATGTGCTTGAAGTTAAAATTATGATCAGGCGAAAAAATTTTTGAGTTGTAAAATATCATTCATCTAGATTTTCTTATTGGTTCTTATCCTTTTTTTCACACTATATCACATTTTATTACAATTGTCATTTAATCAACCATTTGATCCTAACAGTTGTTATTTTGCGGCGTCATTTAACCATTACAGAACACCCTATGCCTACGCAGGTGGGGTGTGGGGGCTACGCAGACGACGCTGCAGGGGCGGTGTCCACCACAGGGCATGGAGAGAGCCTCATGAAGGCCTGCCTCGCCCACCGCGTCACTCAGAGCCTGCGCCACGGTGAGGCGTAACACCAGAGCCCGCGTCACGGTGAGGCGTAATGCCAGAGCCTGCGTCACGGTGAGGCGTAATGCCAGAGCCTGCGTCACGGTGAGGCGTAATGCCAGAGCCTGCGTCACGGTGAGGTGTAATGCCAGAGCCTGCGTCACGGTGAGGTGTAACGCCAGAGCCCGCGTCACGGTGAGGTGTAACGCCAGAGCCCGCGTCACGGTGAGGTGTAACGCCAGAGCCCGCGCCACGGTGAGGTGTAGCGCCAGAGCCTGCCTGTCGTAGTCTTGTGCTTGATTTTACTCACATTATTTCTAGTAAAAATTATTGCAGCCGTAGAAGTGTAATTGCATGGAAGTTGAGTCGAATTTTGGTGGTTTTGTGTATTGTTTGACGATTTCTAATATTAAGTCGAATCTACTTAGACTTTATGTTGGACGATTTCTGAGATCAAAACCTCAAAATGGTCTTTACGATGGAAGTGAGATCATCTTATATTAAGATGATCTCACGCACATACCGCTGCGTTTGCAGTAGGGATCTGTGAATCATTTTCTTTTAGATTTAATCCATCTTTACTGATCTATTTCCTGACACGTGGGCAGGTCTGTCAGCAGCAGCCGCTGGTCGGGAGGCCCTGACGTACATGCTGACGCGGGTGGGGGGACGCGGCGGGTGTGTCGTGGTCAGCAGCTCCGGGGACGTCGCGACGCCCTACACCACCGCGCGCATGCCCTGGGCCTACGTCAGGGACCGTGCCCTGCACTGGGGGGGCCTTGTGCCCTGCCAGCATTTCACTGAGGCTCTGTCTCACGTCAGCCCGTCACTGAGGCCTTCTCCTCAGCCGCAATGAGGCCCTCACGTCAGTCCGTCACTGAGGCCCTCACATCAGCCCGTCACTGAGCCCCTCACGTCAGCCCGTCACTGAGCCCCTCACGTCAATCCGTCACTGAGGCCCTCACATCAGCCCGTCACTGAGCCCCTCACGTCAGTCCGTCACTGAGGCCCTCACGTCAGCCCGTCACTGAGCCCCCACGTCAGTCCGTCACTGATTCGTCAGTCCGTCACTGATCCCCTCTCGTCAGGCCGTCACTGATCCCCTCTCGTCAGTCCGTCACTGATCCCTTCACTGAGGCCCTTACGTCAGCTCGTCACTGATCCCCTCGCGTCAGTCCGTCACTGTTCCCCTCACCGCAGCCCGCCACTGAGCCCCTCTTGTTAGCCCGTCACTGAAGCCCTCACGTCAGTCCGTCACTGAGCCCTCAAAATACCCTCCTAATAACGGGTGTTGCCTTATCGTTGGCATCGTATGATGACTCTGTGAAAAGGTGTTGACAGCAAGTTTAGCAATGAATGGAATTAGAATCGTAGCTCCTTCAAGAAGTCATCATTCATTTGTATCGTCCTTCATGATGAAAGCCGTAAAATACGCAATAAAAATCGCCATCGAACTCGCAGAATTTTTTTATTTTTCTCTAGGTAGTGAATCTTAGAAGAAATTTCTAGCGCCTAGGCTTCGTTTCTAAGACATTATCATGCTCTATTACGTCGCAGCTGTTAGTAAACTAGTTTTTCACTTAGGTTCCCATTAAGTCAATTCGCGGTCATGAATGAAACTTGGCTGAAAGAAGACTAATTAAACGATACACGTTTTTGATCACACAAGAAAAAATAACTTGTGATATGCTTTAACATGCAGATGGTATGTATGAGGTAAAATGTAGGTACAGTGGGGGGAAATAAATATTCGTACACTTGAAAAATCGTATTTTAATGTATGTAAGTACACAAACTTAACAGGAAAAGTGATTAAAATTATGTGTTTTGTACGAATACTTTTTTCACCCGAAGAAGTGAATATGTTGCATTGTTTTTTGTTGCATTGAGATTTAATTTCTTTTGATAGTATTTTTGAAAACTATGCGTCTCTATACATAATTTAAATCACTTTTCCTGTTAAGTTTGTGTACTTACATACATTAAAATACGATTTTTCAAGTGTACGAATATTTATTTCCCCCCACTGTATATTTTTTTATTTTTAATTAACCTAGTAGTAGTAGTAGGGGAGAGATTTCTAGCGCTTCAGATCAACTTCGTCTATTTCGCGCCGAAGGTGCAATATTCGGTTTTGCAGGGTCAGGTTTCTTCGTTGGTTTTAGGCTTGCAGCCTGATCCATCTGGTTTTGGGTGTATGCTTCTCTATTTCTGAGGCGCGGGTTCGCTCGGACTTCTGTGGTCTCATCTCGATCAGTAATGTGTTGACACGAATGTGGTGTTTTGTCAAGGGTGTGGGTCTTTTCTCATCTGTCATGGTGCTGTACTAGATCTCCGGCAACTGGTTCACTCGATGATATTTTCTAAGGTTGTCAGTTCTAAAGATGCTTCGGGGAACTTCACTCAGCATTTCACATTGGGCCTCAGACAGCATTTCATTTGGGGTAGTAGTTTTGCCGAGTATCACTGTGGCTCGTGCATTCCGCCTTAAAATGCAAGACCGTCAGGGGTACCAAACAATCATTGCAATACGGCATTGGACGGCGTTCGATCAGGTAGCTGTGAGTGAGGCGCGTGTGGCCGATCCTTAGTCTGCACAGCGCTACCTCCATCTTCCGGAATTACGCTCGTACACAATCCTTAATTGCTCTTAGTTTGTTTTCTCCCACGTTCAGCCACTGTTCCTGCCAGATATGGCGGATGCTGGCCTTGATGATAGGGTAGTGGTCCCGGCAAGGATTGCTATGGATCGCCTGGTCAAAAGAGGCGGCGTTTACCGCCGCCTCATCCGTCCTCTCGTTGCCTCGCACCCCCACGTGTCCGGGCACCCAGCAGACGCTAACCGCTCTCCCCGCCCCCGCCAGGCGCACCAGCCCGGTTAGGATCTCCCAGACGATGGGGTGCCTGCTATTATAAGCTCTCAAAGCCTGCACCACTCTTTTGGAGTCTACAAATATTGTAAAGTCGTCTTCGGGCAGTTGGTCTATGAGGCTAAGGGCACAGCTGACACCGACGAGCTCAGCGGTGAAGATTGACGAGCTTCAGCATGTAAAAGTTCAGCATGTAAAAGAGAGTTCGCTTGAATATATTTCGAAAAGTGAAAAATAGTTTAGATTGATTTCACTATTTTATTCATTTTTAGTAAATGAATGAGAATTGTATTCTAATTTTGTTTACAATAAGGTAAAATAATACGTTTCTTGTTTCCACATACACACGTGCTTAATGTTCAGCCTATGAGATCGTGCATCGTATTAAGCGGGCATTGCTGTTGTTCTTCGGCCCTTGTCAGTTTATGCAACTGGATCAGAAGTTTACAATTTATTCAGAGAGTAATTGTTGCTCTACCGTATCTGAGATTCTCTACAGTGTCTGAGATGCTCTACCATGGTCAGTATTGTAAAGAAGTTTTGTGCAAAACGTAAGGAGAAAGTTTTGAATGTGATGGTGGAGGCAGGAGGGCGTGGATGTATCAAATTGAGTCTCACTCAAGTCGAGACTTTCATCCGCAAGTAACACTTTAGCTTCCGCATTGATATTATTTGGAGAAGTCAATTATTCGTTGTCCTTCGCAGCTCAGCAGGCAATCGTCAGAAGACGTTGTACACTGTACAAGTGTACATGTGAGTGGTGTGTACTTGGCGACCTATACACTCGTACATGGTGTTCAGCTATTATTATTATTATTCCACGAAGAGATTGTCGTGGCGTCTCGTTCAGATCGAACTTCGAGGGCACGTTACAAGTGGCTAAAAAAGACACGAGAGGATAAAAACAGATGACGTCTATGCTAAAACAAAGGACATATGCCAAAACTGACGACGTCTATGCTAGAACAAACAACACCTATACTAAACTAGTAATATCCATGATAGATTAGATGACTGCTAGGTCTAAGATTCAAAGGCTCTACGGAAAAGTTCTGTTTTTAGGCGTCGACGAAACAACGGCAGCGAAGCAGATGTCACCGATGCTGGCAGACCATTCCATGTTCTGGCCGCAGCGACCGAGAACGCTCTGTCGCCGACGGTGGACAGACGTGAGGACGGGACGATGAGGTCAGCCTTCGACGAGGAACGCAGTCGCCTTCTGGAAGGCAGATCCGACACGCGCCGCAGCCCTTCAGCGAGATAAGGTGGTGCTAAACCATGGAGGCAGCCGAACGTCAGAACAGCGACTTTAAACTGCGTGCGCTGCTGGATGCGCAGCCAGTGAAGGTCACGCAAAATCGGTGTCACGTGGTCAAATTTCCGCCGGGCACAAACGAGTCGCGCTGCAGCGTTCATTACGAATTGAAGTTTGTTAAGTGCCGTGATGGGGAGTCCGTAAAGTGTGGCATTGCCATAGTCCAGTCTGGTCAGCACAAGCGCCACCATGACGGCCTCGAGGACCGGCCTCGAGAGACAGCGACTGACGCTACGAATTCGCCGCAGGATGCCAAAACAAGCAGCGGTTACTTTGGCAATGTGGTTGTTCATAGATAGTTACAACTCCAGTTGTAAGTTACATAGTTACAACTCCTGAATGCCGAGGCTGCGTACAGAGGATGCAGGTGCGACGAACTCGTCGCCCACTCGCACAAGGTTTGCTGGAAGCTGATGTTGGCGACGAGCGGTCGCGAACCAAATAAATTCGGTTTTTGATGCATTGAGCTGGAGCCGGTTGGAACGCATCCAGTCTGAAACGGCGTCCATGCAGGCAGACATCCGGTCTTGCAGCGTTGCAGCGTCCGCCGGCGCACAGTAGCCATAGATTTGGGTGTCGTCGGCAAACATGTGCGGATTCAAGCTGTGTGAATCAATTATGTGCAACACGTCGGCAGTATATAGCAGTAAGAGTATTGGGCCGAGGACCGAGCCCTGCGGTACACCGCAGGTGACCGTCGATGGTTTAGAAGAGGTGAGCCCGCGACGAACACATTGGAGTCTATTGTTGAGGTAAGACTCGAACCACCGCAGCACCGTACCGCGCAGGCCATACGATACGCAACAAGGTGGCGTGGTCGACCGTGTCAAATGCAGCGGAAAGATCGAGTAAAGCCAGCGCCGCAATGTTGCCGCAGTCGACCGCCTGCAGAATATCCGAAAGAACCTTCAGCATGGCGGTCTCCGTCGAGTGGTGACGACGGTATGACGGCAACAGGTCGCTGGCGCACTGCTTGTTAGGCAGCGCGCGCACTGCAGTGGTGACCTCATCCGCTGTGACGCAGGTGAACTCGCGTAGCACGCAGTTGTAAGGGCACGGCGTAAAGGTTGCCGCGGGAGCATCGGCCGACGACGCGCACAGCTGAAGTTTTGTTTTCGAAGAACGCATGGAATCCTTCCACGCTCACGTCGCCCGAGGCATCCGCACGACCCCTCCCCATGAGCCTATCCAGCGAACGCCACAGCGCCCGAGGGTCGCCGCGCTGTGCGTCAATTCTTAGACGCCAGAATGACTCCCTCCATCTAAGACTAAGGAGGATCTAAGAAGATTGACTGTTGACATGGGCGCGCCGCGCATCCCGCCAGTTGGACGTCGCTTCAGCCCCGGCAGCAGGATCATTACGTCTGCTCGCGCGAAAAGACAGTAAAATTACAGTAGCTAGACAGTAGCTCGAGCTAGAGACAGTAACGCGTGCTCAGCATCTCACGCTGCCCGATGCTCACGCTAGGAACTAGAGGCAGAATTGTGTGACTCACGCCATCTTTACTGGGGGAACGAAAAACTATGTCATCATTCTTATTCGCTTCAACCAATAATGATTTTGTATCTGCAGTATTAAATCGTAACTTATATTATATTGTTGCAATATTATTATTGTTGTCATTTTTGTTATAATAATTAAACGGTTTTGAGCTGAAAATAGTGGCAGTTTTAACCTGAGTAGGAATATGAAAAAAGTTTCCGGTAGATATAAAAGTTGAGTTAGGTTAAATTACCTGAAGTAGTGCGTTCCGTAATGCATCACTGAGTTGTAGTCGTATTAAAGGCCTACGAAGTCTGCAGTAGGCTCTGCTTCCGGAAATTGCTTTCGGAGTCTGAAACATAAGTGCGTTTACTTATACGTTAATTGAATCAATGCTGTTAATTACAATTGAGTTTCCATAAATAAAATCTTGATGACCATCGAAAATGTAAAATTTGATAATTTTTTTTTTTTTATTTTTCTAGTTTAGGATAATGTTTAAATATTTTCTTTTATAAACAATGCATAAAATAATATATATAATAATATAATATATCTGCTTCATGGCGATTGGCTTTAGCAGTAATTAAGCTAGATTGAATATGACACGCATTTCCGCAGAATTATTCAATTCCAATTCTTCTTTTTTTTATCAATCGCAACTGCCAATTCTAAGCGACTGTGTCAAACTAAACACTTCAGTGCACTGTTAACACTAATCTTTAAGATTTCAAGTTTAAGCAGCGGCCGCAGGCCACGAACGGCATGCTTCAACGGCAGTGAAGTATGCACCTAACAAATAGCATATGGGATTTTTTGAAGATGCCTTTTGATGTTTTACAAAAAGTAAGAGATTCAGAATAGTTGATTTGAAAAGTACTGTACTTTTTCATTATTACGCAGAAAATTGGGCAGGGACCATAAAATGGGTGAAAATTTATAGCAAGCATGGGCATTTTTGCTTCATCTGCAGGTACGTAGCTCTGTCTAAATTTTTAGTGGATGAGTAAAATTAAAAGCAATAGCTTACCTATTGCTTATTAAATAAAAACTGTTGCAGATATATGACCAAACTAAGATATCATATGGAGAGAGTTTTCAGGAATAAATTCTTGTAATTTAAAAATAATCTTATAGCAAATAAAATTCAAAAAGACGATATTCCACACCACCTAAAGTATCATGACTACGGCCTATACCGTCCCTACATATAACCTGAGTGCGAATTTTATTGAGCCATTCGAAACTTACCGATTACGCCGAATTATTTTGAGCCCAAAAATTTGAAAGTTACTACAATGGATCGCAGGCAAAATTTCCAGCCCACCATGATGATGGCTAGGACGACTGGCCTTGACGCCATTAATGAATTTGTCCAATTGCTTCAGAGAAAAGCCCAGGAAAAGCGATGCTAAAATATTCGACAGGATTTGCAAGAAATTAGACGAATTTCCGACAATTTAATGGGGCCTTTTATTGAAATGCCCATGCTATAGATAGAGGGGTTACAAATAAATTCAAAAGAAGTGGAAGGGCTTATTGACACAGGAGCAAGGATTACTAGCATCGCCGAAGAAGCCTTGAAATATTTCAAATTGAGCAAACTTCTACAAAGAAGCAGGAGAAGACCATTAGAAACGATCTAAGGCGTCGACGGGAAAGAACTTACGGTCATAGGGAAAATAATTGTGCCTGCCAAAATCTTTAACACAAGCTTCGTTTTTGAATGTTAAGTAGTGCAGGGGTTGCGTAAGCCCCTGCTTGTGGGGATGGATTTTATTGGGCTCGCATTCCGTCAAATGAGCGTAGACACACCGGTCCAAAACAAGAACTTGGACCCGTACATTTCAAACTCAGAATAAATGAGTCAGTGGTATGGCGAAGTGGAAAAACGGGCCGTAGTTCTCTACAAACTTGGCAGAAAATCTATCCGAGGAAAGAGAAGGAAGCAGTAAGAGATTTAACTACAAGAAGACCTGGCATTGGAATTGATTTAGTATTATAGAAACAACAAATGTAATGTAATTGCGTTATCAGCAAATCAGCGACAACCCAGTTAGAGAAATTAAATTCAGTTAGAAGTTGAGGTGGAACAAGGACCGCCAGGTATCTAATAAAGAGTCGTAAAACTCGAAGCTGCAATGAATATTTCAAGAAAAGAAGTGTAAGCGGTCATCGACACTGGCGCGACCTGCAACGTCATATCGTCTGCGAATGTCGATAGACTGAAGTTGAACCGACTACTGGATCACGGCTAACAACTTTTGGACGCTACAGGAATAGGTGGCCCTATAGCCACTATTGGAACGATTATCGTTCCAGCACTCTTTTAGAACACCGCTGTAGCGATCCGTTGTGCGGTCGTTTCATCATAACGTCGTATCTTTCTATTAGGATTAGACTTCCTACGAACCTACAGATGCACCATAAGAATTGTAGAGCCACGTGTTGAAATGTCCTTTGGAGGCATTCGGACACAAGAAAATGAAAACTGAGATTTCAAGTTCAATAATTCAATTCAAGTTTCAAGCTCAACTTGCAGGAAATTCGACGAATTTCAGATAATTTCATAGAGGTTGAGGTGGCACAAGGACCGCCACCATTAGGTATCTAATAAAGACTCGTAAAACTCGTAGCTAGAATGAATATTTTAAGAGAAGAAGTTTAAGCGGTCATCGACACTGGAGCGACCTGCAGCGTCATGTCGTCGGCGAATGTCGATAGACCGAAGTTGAACCAACTGCTCGATCAAGGCTGGCAACTTTCTGAAGACGCTGTAGGAACAGGTGGAATAATATTTTTTTTATAATTATTTTCAAGACTTCGGGTACGAAGAATTCACACCTCCCAGTCTGAGCACAACTCGATTTTGTCTGAGCCTTTTTCCTCTTGTCAGCTGCCACTTATCAGCCCAGTCAACCAGCCTGTCAAGATCTTGCAACTGTACTTTTTGCGACGTATTCTTCACTTTATTATAAATTTTTGTGTCGTCAGCATACATCGAGCAAACGCTAGACACAGCTTCTGGTAGATCGTTTATAAACGCAAGGAATAGAATAGGCCCGAGAACGCTTCCTTGTGGCACGCCGCTGCGCACTGAAGCCCAGTCTGATACGGACTGGTCCAACATATATATGAATTAAGAGTACTTCTTAACAAGTGACTCATACTGCTCCCCTCAAACGATTAGTATAATCTTTGCATGTAACACCCATAACGCTGGAAAACCACTATAACGCTCAATAAAAACAACGTACTACATAATGTTTGCCGGCGAAGACATGTGATGCAGCACAACCACTTCTAACGACCGCTAGGAACGCACTGAGCGATCAGAGCGAAAATAAATGCTGAGCCTGGAAAGAGACTGACCAACAGTTTGTGTGGAGCCGTAGCCTCTTGTAGAGTTGCAGGCTGAAGTTAATTCGTGAAGCAGCTCTCTCTTGAACAGTCGAGCGGCTTTGTAGCAAGAATGTCTTCCAAGTTCGGATAAATGCTTATTTGTTTCACTATATTCAATTCTGCTCGGTGCATGTCGAAAAATGCTTCCATTCAAGAGAGCGTTATTAGCGGCATAGTGTAGAAAAGTTGTCACTCATCGGATCAGATGTGAATCCAAGACAGGAGTCGACCGACGTCTTACATTTACAAGATGGTATTTCAATCAACAAGACCACGAATTTTATTCGTTTCATATCTTTAACGGCCTGACGAGTGACTACCAGCGCTACATTTATTCCTACCGACTAAAAGCCCGGTCCACACGCTCAGTTTTCACAACGATTTGTCTGCGCAGTTTTAAGTCGGAATGAAATCGTTGCAATTTTTAGAGCGTCCACACGGTACCGATCTACTGTACAGATTTGAACGAAACGTTGAATATAGAAACCTAACCTCCCAACGGCGATGTTTAGCTCGTGAAATTTTTTTAGATTAGATAAAGCCGTATAACTCGCAAACGAAGGCAAAATCGAAAAAAATTGTCACATGCTAAACATCACCGTTAAGTCCTAATGAATACGTGTACCAAGTTTTATCGAGCTACGTTCATTACTTTGGGAGGTATTACAAGCCCATCGAATTTGGGGAGACCGGCCGCGAGTCCGGCCGTAAATTTATCCGAAACATGCCATGGAGAAGGCAGTATTTTCATAAATTTTGGCATTGTGCCTTGTCAAAAAAGAGATTGAATCATTTAGGGATTGCGAGGAATCAAAACACAAGAGAGATGGCTTGTAGATGTCTTCTTTTCCAGGTCCAGATAGAATCGATTTTTTTATTCATTCCCAATTATTTACGGTAAATGCTCAACTTTTTTTACAGCTGTTTCTATATTTGCGCTTTCATCGATTTTTTTGAATTTTTCTACTAAGCCCTCGTATGTCTCCACCTTTTTTGTCCCTGTTACTATAGTCCTTGAATTTTACTTGCCAAATGCAAGAAAAACTTTCGGTATAGAAAAGCAATAAATTCCCGAGAACATTACCGAAGGTCCGCCATGGTCGCCAGAATCATTGAAACTGAGCACAAATCGAATCGGGAAAACTGTGCTACCGTCCACACGTTCCGACTTGTCTGCGCAGTTCATCGAAATCTATGCTCGGTAGCTCAGATTTCGATGGAACTGCGCAGTTTTCCCGCCGGCTCCAAAACTGCGCAGTTTTCCCGTCCACACGCAACGTTTTGTCTGCAACGATTAGAACTGCGCAGACAAATCGTTGTGTAAAACTGAGCGTGTGGACCGGGCTTTATAACGACGAGTATTAACATCTAGCAAATGATCATTGAGCTAAGAGTATGAAGCTCGTGGCAGATTAAGAAACCTAGTACAGGTGAGCACGATTGGTATAGTTGCCTAAGCAGTTGCGCCATCGCCCTGCAGACATTCTCAAGAGAATATCTTGCTAGTAAGTGGCAACCTACTAAAATTGACAATTTTAGTCACAATGCTGTTCGCGGGAACGTAGAGTGAAGAAACGCGCTAAAGAAACTACTGGCTTCACTGGCGCTGTAACTTCGGCCGTACAAATCTCATGCAGTCGAGCTATGTTACATTCATCCTGCAAATTTTCTAAACTAATGCCTAGCACGTTTATGCACGACTGGTTGCGGTACACACAATTAATTTCTTGCTTAACGACTCCGGTAGTCGATAAAATCGCAGAGCGAACTGCTTTAATTATCCCCCAATCCCAAATTAAAATAGTATTGAAACTCCAACCTAGTTCACTTCAAGCCTAAATGATTCAACGTCCAGTGTTGAAAACTTTAAAATTCCAACATTGCAAGCGTTCAGATTTCAAAGATCTTGAACTAATAAAAATAGACAAGCGCAGTCGATCGAAGCTCAGGGGGCACTGCGGTTTCAAAAGGTGCCTGTACACAGGGATAGTACTAGCCGCTAGTTCATCCGGCGCTTGAACTGTCCACGCTACTAGCCTCGTGTATAGGGGTTCAGCCGCTTCAGAGGCATGCGCCGGCAAGTGCCCGAGACGCGGCCGAGCAAGACAACGATGTGTTGATATCTGGGCTGGAGAAGTGGCTAGTAGCGCTGATGCAGCCATGGTGAGAGCATCTGTGCCGCTCCTGTGAAGTATCTTGGGTCCCGTGAATCTTGGCTTGTTTGAACGATAATGTTTCTAAGAGGAATCCAACAAAATGGATTCCAGACGATATTCAATTATTCTTTGAAATATGAATTAAAGTGGAATGTTTGCCATGACGGTTACTCCAACAAAATGAAGAGAGGAACGAGTATTTTGAAACTGGAAGAAGACCTTATTAGTTAGGGTTTAGTTGTTCCAGACGTTGCATTTTTAAAGGTTAGAATAAAGAGTATAAAAACGACGTATCGGCTTCTAACGACGCACTGGCGGGCGCGAACGAGAAGATAGCGGCACCTTCTACTCTCCTCGTGTGTACAGGCTTACTAGCCGGATAGTAACCAAGCGACCGACACTAGCCAGATTTACTAGCCGTCTGCACTATCCCTGTGTACAAGCACCTAAAAAGTTCCTGCGTCGTTTTTATAGCTTTGTCTTTGACTACAGTCTGCGTCGAAAATTTGCGGTCATTCAGCACGTACGTAGTTTCATTTTGAGGTGCCGAATACGGTAAGTCAATCAGGCATCTCACTGACCCAAGATAGTAGAAATCGAACTTTTATTTGGGCTGTACTCCTTGGCGAAGGTCATCCACATGTTATAAGAGGTTCAATTTATGGTTGTTATACCTATAACGACACTTTTCCTGCCCATTGCCTGCTTGATTGAAACACCCCGGCAGTACAAGGAGCGCATTTTCTACAATTATTTGCTTTGTAAGGCGGTTTATCGCAAAGCTAGAAGTTAGTATGAAACACATTCCACTGTACCGATTTGCTCACCAAACGGATTGTATTTTACAAGTTCCGATTGCAATGACTCGAGTCACACAAAGAAACTTATAGCAAATAAAATTCAAAAACACGATATTCCACACCACCTAAAGTATCATGACTACGGCCTATACCGTACCTACATAACCTGAGTGCGCGATCAAAATGACATCGAATTTTATAGAGCCAATCGAAACTACACCGAATTAGGTTGAGCCCAAAAATTTGAAACTTACTGCAATGGATCGCAGCCGAAATTTCCAGCCCACCATGATGATGGCTAGGACGACTGGCCTTGACGCGATTATGGAATTTGTCCAAATGCTTCAGAGGAAAGCGGAGGAAGCTCGATGCTAAGAAGTTAGACAGGACTTGCAGGAAATTCGACGAATTTCAGATAATTTAATGGGGCCTTTTATTGCAATGCCCATGCTATAGCTAGACGGGTTAGAAATAAATTCGAGACCAGTGGAAGGGCTAATTGACACAGGAGACAATTGTTACCCACAGCTCATTGATCTGAGGCTATGTGTAGATATTGTATGCTGATGGTTGGCGTTGGGCCCAGGGCCTGTTTTCGAGTTAATTTTGTTACCCACGGCTGCGCTCCTGTCAGATGGTATATTTCTATACCAGATTTCACAAACCTGGTATTTTCAGAAGGTGTCTGGTATGAATATTATAGATCTGGTATATTTGCCTAAATCTGGTATTTTTATGGCATTTTCTGACTTACTGCATTAAGTTCCACCTCAGAAGTTTTACCTTTACAAGCGCAGGCGCAGATTATATAGATTGCCTACCTTCAGACCGGCGCGCCTAGAGGTTTCACGCCATTTTTGGAATCGCAAGTTTACCGCTTGATGAAATAAACCCAATCAGCACGAGAGTGATGATTCTTGATTCAAGTTGATTGATTACTGATCAGTGGTGATATGGTCTAGGACGAGTGAGGTTGTCCAACCGATCTCTGCTACGCAAGCTCCTCCATTTTTGTTTGGTGGCTTTGAATTCTAGAGTGCCACTTGAATTCTGGGGTGTCATTCAATATTTCACTGACCTTGAAAATCATCATCCATTCATAGAACTGGCTGCCTACTGCATCACTTGTCTACTTTGACCTGTCTCCTAGGCATTCGTGGTGCAAGTGTTTTCACCAAGCCACCTATAAATGTGAAAAACAAGCAACGAAAGATTTCATCTAAGATACTGGAGTCCGTTATTCGGACCAAAAGCTATCTGCTCAGCCGCAACAAGTGATCACACCCGAAATGTTAGATTAATGCAATGAACAAGCATGTACGAAAATAAGCAAAAAGACGATGACCTGTTTTCGTGGCTTGCTCATGTTGAGCGAAGGGGAAGAAGTGCCACTCTGACACTGATAAAAAAGAAAAATGTGTCAATGTTGTCAATGTAATCAAACACAGGAAAAGAAAAGTGTTAAATTTTCCAAACAGAGGGAAACAATATAACGTGTTCAATTTGGCTAATTATTGTCAAGCCAGATAAGTGCACTGTGCACAGTATATACGATAATTTTTTTTTTCTTTTTCTAACCAACGTTTCTGACGAATAGTTTCATTAATGTAGGTATTAGTCTGTTTTTGAACAATAGAATTCCTGGTATACTTTTGGTATTTTGAACTAGGCAATCTGGTATTCTCGCCAAGAAAAAACCTGGCAACACTGATAAGTGGAGGAAATCAACTGCACAGCTGCTCGAGAATCAGACAAGATCAGAACTGGCTTATTCTGTAGAGACGCATCCATGATAGCAAGCTGCACAGCCTTGTATATAGCAAAAAGTTCAGCACCCAGTACAGTATGCATTGGATTCAACAACCACCCAGTGGCTAGTTGGGTTGATGGTACATATAGGCCAGCAGAGACAGATCCAGTGGTAGTCCGTGATCCATCAGTAAAGATCTGCAGATGTTG